AGGTGTTGGCTGTCCCTGGCGTTCGAGGTGAGGCGTACACAGAGGAGAGTGAGACTGACATGCCAGCTGACCAGACACACGACTTGGGTGTGGGGAGGATGTCCCTTCCCTGGGGAGAAGCAAGTTTCTCATGGTCTTCAATTTGAGACTTCATGGTTTTCTAGTGAGAGGTGGGGGCAGAGAGGGGGGGGGGGAGAGGTGGTCTTAATGCATGTTGGTTAAAAACTATTCTACGTGAAAATTTTTTTCTTCCTCTCCAAAATAAGATGATTATTTCTAAGTGGCAACGTGTGTCTGGAGTTGGCAGGGAGCGTGGGTCTCTCACCCCATCAGTCAGCCTGGGGCCACCCCTAGGAGCCACGCCGCAGAGCCCGCTGCCTCCAGACAGGGCCACCCCACACGTCCCCAGCTCTGCCCTGAGTGTGGAGTAAGACACGGGGTCACGGACAGAGTTCCAGATGTCTCTCCCATTCCAGATCGCCACTGTGAACGGAATCTTGTTAACTGGGCATGCCTTCAGTCACAAAAGAGGAGTTTGCTGATAAAAAGTGGTGAGTCACATTCAGGTGTTAGAGTTGTCTTTAACTTTCTTGATGTTGGTCCATCAGTAAGAAAAATAACCTCTCTCACAGGATCTAGCCAAAGAGGCTGAAAGTCAATCAGTTTGGTAATTCACCGAAAAAGGGAGTTAAAGGAAAAGGCAACTGGAGGCTTGGAGTTTTTGTTACTGTTGTAGTGTTTTTTTTTTAAATAAACATCATCTTTTACGTGTAATCAAATTTCCATATTTTTTCTATAAAGAATTTGCTTTAGTTTTTCCATAAGGCATTTTTTCTGTTCCTATTTAAATTTTTTTACAGAGTTAAAACCATAAATAAGAGAATTTAAACCACTAACATGACATGTGCCAATATCTTCATTCAGCCTGACCTGGTAAATTCTATCAAAACTAGACAGTTAAATAAGAACCACGTTATAAAAATATTAGCCAAAAAAAGACTATTAGATAATTCCGCAAACTCAAATATGAAACTGTCCTAAACAAAATATGTGCAAACGTGTACAAGCATAGAGCACGTGGCAGGGCTATGCTCAGGTTAGTTTAAAGCTCGCTCTAGTGGGTTTAATTCAGGAGTTGCTCCACGGTGGTGACGTTTACTCTGGACTCACACACGAGTCAAGGAGAAGTAAATGTGCACAACCGCCCCCTGGAAGGTCAGTGTCAGGGAGCTGACGCACCTCCCGTCCACACCTGGGGCCGTCTAGGGTGTCACTGGGTGTAGGGGTGGGAGCCAAATCCTAGGCGGGTGGTGTCCCAGGACCCTGGGCTGGGGCTGGGCCGGCACTGAGCACTCCTGCCTCCTTGTCCAAGGCCCCAGGGAGCCCAGCCGCACTGGGGTGGCGGCCAGGCTGGGTCAGGGGCCCCCTCAAAGGCTCGGAGACCCGCCCGCGTGCTGTCCGACGTCTCAGTGAGCCCACCACCGCTCGTCTGAGGGTCAGGCTGCAAAGACACCCTTTTATCAGAAGCTAGACCGGAAAGCCCTAACCCCCCACTCTCGGACCCCATTCCACAGACGAGGTCCCCCCCGGCGTCCTTGGCACAGATGCTCTGCGGCGGGTCCAGGCGGGCACTAGAGGAGGAAGGGGTTGGTGGTGCCAGTGGCCGGGGCTGCCGACGGGGGGCCGCCCAGGCCGCCCACCATGTTCATCGTGGCGGGGCCCAGGGGCGTCAGGGAGGAACCGCTGACCCCCAGGGCAGGGTGTGAAGCCGTGGACGTCACGGAGGCCATGGGCTCCACACCTGGGCTGGGCCCGAAGGACGCGCTGCTCCCCAGAACCGGGCTCCCCCGCAGCTGGTTCAGCGTCAGTGGCTGGGGCTGGTTCACCTGGAAGGGGTTGACCGGGGCGGCGGCCGCGGCTGCACCTGAGGAGACAGCGGAGGGGTGCAGGCTACAGTCAGAGCTGTGGGGCCCCCGAGCCCGACGGCTGGCACACCACCGGGAGCACAGTGCCCTCCGGCCCGGGCGCCCCATCCCAAGGCAGACTCACAGGCCGCGTGGTCAGAGGACACCTGGCTGTGAGAAGGCTGGTGAGTGGCTAGCACTCGGGCTCCTTCAGGGTGAAGAGCTGGCACTGCTCCCTCACACTGTTTGCTGAGCTCCGCCACCACAGATGCCCGGGAGAGGGCAGCCGAGGGGGGAGGCAGGGACCGCAGCGCGGCCTGAAAGCAGCAGTCCCCGTGCTGCACCGGGGTCCCTGGCATAATAAAGGCTCTGACAAGTCCTGCAGTCAAGAAGCAGATGCAGATCCACCGTACCAGGGTTTCCAGAATGTCTCTCACATCAGACAGCTTTTCCGCTTTTCAGCCAAAACATCTGCCAATACGCTGCCAAAAAGCACGGCAGCTGCCGGCACTGAGTCTCCAATGCAGCTGGGACTCCGCTCACAAAGGCTGCCCAGGAGGGGGTCCCAGGCCTCCCAGCAGGAGATGCTGCCCATTCTCCCTGTATCAGCTGCTGCTCGCGACCCCAGGAAGGGACCATGCAGGCTACCCCCAATCAGAGATGAGCAAACTGAGACCTCAGAGCAGGCGCGGGAAGGGCGGGGCCAAGACAGAGGCCCTGCAGGGGCGGTGGGGCTGCCGCCTCAGGACCCAGGACCTGTCTGCAGACAGTGCTGCTGGCCCCTAGGCCCTGGCCTGCACCTCTACAGCCTGTGGGTGGACTCCAGCAGGCACTCTTCTGGGGCAGGAACCTGGGTTCCAATCCAGCTCTGGCCCGCAGCCACCCTGCACTGGGGGCAACCACATCCCCACCCATCTCAGGACTGCAGGGCTGGGCAGGATCCAGGCACCGCACACACCCCACTTCTGCCTGAGGGTCCTCGGCCAAAGCGCCGCCAAGTCCTTGGGTCTGAGGCAGAACACCTTGAACATGACGCGTTCCTGCCCTTAAGGGGCCCAAAGCCTTTCTGGAAAAACTGTGGGGAAGGGAAGGGGTTTCCTAGAGGAAGACGGCTGCCTGGACTGGGAGCCGAACAAACGGCAGGCCGATCTCCCCGAAGAGGAGGGAGACATCCCAGCAGAGGTAGCAGAACATGTAGTGGAGGGACCTGAGGGTCTCAGAATGGCGGGAGGGGGACACCGGGGCCTGACCACGAACG